TTAATAGTTTCTGGAAGCTGGGTGTGGTGGTACCTACCTTCAATCTCAACACTTGGGAGGCTAAGGCAGGAGGATTGCCTTGAGTTTGAGCTTAGCCTAAGTTAATTGATGATCATCTACATTACAGAGAAGGAAGCAAGCTCAGAGAGGTCATTTAAGGTCATTCACTGGGTAAGTGAGGAACAAGAATTCACACCTATGTTGATCTGATTTCAACACCTATATTCTTCATTATTGAACTCCAGCAGGTACCAGGGACAGAGCAGAGACTGTACCTTTCCAGCACATTCCATCTGGCAGACAAGCAGAAGGTACACAATGCAACATGCATGATGGAACGGGAACTCAACCATTCCAGGAACTGGGCAGGGCTTGGGCCAAGACCCAGAGGAAAGAGATGGCTGTCAAGCCTTTCACCAGTGGCTAAGTCTGGACTAGGACATGGGTTGCTGGAAACCTCTCAGATGTTCCATTATTCTACCTTGCAATGGACTTGATACAGGCTAAGAGCTAGTAGAGCAGCGTGAACGGGGCACCAGGTTGTGGGCAGAGCCTGGAGACCCCACTCCTGCTTCAGAGAGGGCCTGCTCCAGCCCCACCTCCTTGCTGACCTCCCCCTGCCAAAATCCCAGTAACTCGTAGGCATGGGGCAGAAAGAGTGTCGTGGACAGGAATGTGGGCCTACCTCTTGCAAGCAGTCCCCGCAGTGGAGTGAGGGTGTCACTGCTTACTGAGGCCTGGTCTTTCAGCATCTCTTGCTTTACAGACGGTGTCTGGGGAGGTACAATGTGTCTTAAGACGAGGGGTGGGGAGATAGGAATGGATACACTGGCAAGGAGGGGCTGTATAGTCAATTGCTCTACTGCTGAACTACACTCTCCAAAGAGGAGCCCTGGCTGGCTGAGAGCACAGGAGCGTCTGTTCTTCCTTAGGGATGCCGGAAAGGGTTCCCCAGCAGAAGCTGCGGGAAATAGCAAGCTTTGGCATTTGTAGGGAGTAGCTGTACATATGGGGGCCTGTCCCTACAGCACCCTTCCTGAGCTGCTGGACCATCCCTGTCCTGTGGCCTGTTATTGGGAGTCAGTGGAGTTCCCTGGTCCCTCTCTCTGACCTCAAAAATCAAAGGGGTAGGGTTGGAATACACAGAAAACTTTCTGTCTCTAAGAACAAAGCAAAGGAAAGAAGGAAGAGAAAGAGAAGAAGGAGAGAAAGAGAAAGGCACAAGCTCTCTCTTCACCCACAGGGGGTGGCAAAGGGAGCCAGCGGTGTGCAGACCTGACAAGGATGTGGTTCTGGGTAGCTATACCTCCCAACAAAAGCTGACGCCTTCCTGCCTCTCTTTATATGTTCCTGGCTATGTGTGGACCCCTGCCAGCGCCTTGAGTTGAGGGTCCCTGGGCTGAGAACTCACTCTCCTCACCCTGGTTGGTCCCCCAGAGAGTCTTGTCACTCAACCTCTTGACCTGGTACTTCCATGTCTGTAAAGTGAGAAGTGGCTTCTGACCACACCTCCATCTCCTCCCTTCTTTAGCACTGGCCTCTGACAACCTGAGCAGAAAGCAGAGCAGAATCTAAAAGGAGGAGAGAATTGGCCAAGCTCACACCTCCTGCCCTGGAAGAGCCCAGTGTCCTGTCTCACCCAGTTAGCCTGCTGGAGGGCTTGGGGGAGGGGAACCCCTGTCTCTGCCTCCCCTCTCCTGCCTCAGCTGATGCCTCTGCCTGCTCACCTTTTTCTTCCCTTGTCCCTGTCTCCAAGGATGTCCGCATGTGTTCTGAGATGCAGCTACCATACACATGCTATTCAGCCAGAGTCTACTTAGGTCCAGCCTAGTCTGAGGTCCCGGGACTGGGCTGCAGGGCAGGAAGCCATGGCACATACAGTGCATGGCATCTTCCAGGCTGCACAGGAGGAGATCCTGCCAGGACCACTCTCCCGCCTCTGAGAGGCTCCAGCTGGTCTGTGGATCCCCTGAGCACAACTTCTTCTTCAGCTCATGGTGGGCTAGTGCCCAGAGCCTTGGCCTTCAGGTCTCCATCCCTCTGAAGTCCCCTCCCCCTTTATACTTAGCCTCTATTCAAGTCCCTACAACCCTGTTCGGACCCTTTCTAGTCTTAGAGAACCTGCTTTTCTGTTCCCAAACCTTACAGGGATGTGTTAGAAACACGGCTCCATCAAGGCTTTACCAACCCTAACTTGCTTAGTACTCACAGTCTTCCTTGCACAAATGAGGAAAAGGAAGACCAACAAATATATCTTGCCTAGGGCTATAGTCTGCTCTAGTCTTGAGGCTGAGCCTCCATCTACACTCAGCCTGGCACCTTCGTCTTTCCCCTTCTCATTCCTACCACTTACTGCTCCCTTCCTTGTTGAAGACAGCGCTCTAACATCATAAACCACGACCCCAGTTTCATCTTTGTGAAACCTGTCTTTGAACATGTCATTACCCAACTCAAAAACCTTGCAATTCCCCCTACACTCCCACCTCCAACAAAGCATTAAAACAACCACCCACCAAGCTGGGGATTCAAGGATGGGGCCCCAGATCCTCCCTGGCTGGGGAACACCTTGCTGGCCCCTGCTTTTCCCAGGCTAGTTTCTCTTAGCTGTCCTGTCTTGCTTGTGCTGCATCACCGGCTTCCTCTTCAGCGAGGGCCGGGGATCTGGATGGGATGGAAGGCTCCTTGCAGGAAGGCTGGCTGCTGGGGACCCTCCCAGAGTATCTCACACTGAAAAGGACAGAAGCATTAGGAACAAGTGTCTCATGGATTACTGTGAGGTTGAGCTGCCTGAGAGTGGAAGCTAATGTCTTCACTAAACACCTCTGGTGGGAGCCATAAGGCCATACCAATAGCTCCCACCCAGAGCTAATTGCATGCTGGGTAGTCCCTTAAACCTTTCCAAGCACCATCACGCAGTCTCCTTGTGGGCTCTGGAAGCAATGCTAACACTGCCCCCCTTTTCTTAACAGTGAGGAAGCTGACACTCTGGGAGGAGTCCTTGCTTGTCACGCAGCTTTGAAGTAGGAGTGCAGGATCTGTGTCTGGCCTATGCTCTCGCCATCAGATGCCAGGGTGTACACAATGCCAGTGTCACTTGTACTGATGATGGCAAATGAGAGGAATATAAGGATTTTGCATAAGAATCTTCACTCCCTTGAGTATTCGTGGACCACTTGCTTTAGTTCCCAAATTTTCACATTCTATAAGTGTGCCAACACTGTTTTAACCCTCAGGTACATAGCAACATAAAACACCTCCAAATTACTCCTTTCTGTAACTGATATTCTAGTGGGAGATAGAGGTGAGGGAGGGAGAAATAAATAAAAAAAATGTAAATATGAGATGCCCATTGCCGCTGGAAAAAGTAAGGCAGATCAGAAATAAAAGGGACAGCCCAATGTGCCTGGTGGGGCCTTGTAAGATGGGCGACCTCCACACTAAGACCATATCACAGCAGCAGTGAAACCAGCAAGGAAAGGACCTCACTGTGCCCTGGTCGGCAGGCCCAGGAAGTGCAAAGGCCCTGAGCTCAGTGTATTTGGTCTGATCAAAGAAGAACACAGCCTGCATGGCTGACGCAGCATGCATGGGGTATGAAAAGCAGGCGGGATGCACAGGCAAGAACATAGCAAGACCCGCATGAAGCCAGGCTCCGCAGCATGCCAGCTGTCCGAGAAATATTGATAACAACAATCCACGGACCTCATTTCACATACCTGCGACTCAACAAAACAAAAACCTGCTGCAGTAAGATTAATTCCAGACAGACAAGGAATCTCACAGTGCATAGAGACAGCAGCTGCATTAGGGTGCCCAGAAACTGTGGAACAAGGAGAGGGCAATGCCGACGCAGAGAGGGAGGGCACAGTGCTAGGAGCCAGGACCACTTGGCGGAGGAGGGCTGGGGTTGCTGGGCCAGGGGATGAGACGATGGAGGGCAGAAAGCAGTCGGCCACGCCTCCTCTCAGTCGGCCATGCCTCCTCTCTAAGATTTATTTCAATCTTCTATGAGATCCCATCCTTCCTGCATCCTGCTCTCAGTTCCAGGCCTGGGACTCTGGGAGACAGGAGCCGGTGTAGTCAGAGATTCCTCAGCTTCTCACACCCCCCACACTGGTAGAATGTCCTGTGTTCAGTAGGCTCTTACCACCATTACCCTAGGGCTTACAGACACTGGAGGACCGGTCCTGCTCTTAGCCTCCTTTTCACAGGGAGGGGCTTCAGCTCAGAGAGGGTAAGGGTTTTGCCAAGGTCACACAGTCAGTAGGTGACTAAGTTGAGACTTGAGATTGTGAATCTCACCAGGGGAATTGGGGAAACTGCAACAACAACAACAACAAAGGAATTGGTGTTGATTGAGCCCAAAAGACAAATCTGAAGAAGGAGGTGGATGGGCTTTGGATCCTGGAGAGGGCGGAATCAGAGGGATGGAGGCTGAGAGAAGGTACCGACAGAGTAGAGCAGGAAGAGGCTTTGATACAGAACTAAGTCTCCAGAAATACCTGTCTCAAGGATGAAAGAGACAAACTGCATCCCCGACAGGCCTGTTATACAAGGGATGGGGGGCGCTATTGCTTCCATTTTACAGACGGGAAAATCAAAGCAAGGGGAGCCGGCAGGGGGCTGGCAAAGGCCAGGGTCCCTGGTAGGAGGTAGAATAGACCAGTCACGTAAACTTTCTCACTCTCTGGGCAACAACAAAATAGACGCTGAGGGAGTGCTGGAGCCGGGGCAAATCCAGGACATCCAGACAGGGAGGGGGAACAAGGCTGAGGCTGGTGACTGTTTGTTCAGAGAGAGGCACTTTGCTAGCTCTGTGTATTGGTAGACAGCATCAGCTGGTCGGGTGTCAGGAGTCCTGGTGCCTCTTCCCATCCCCGCGGGCCCATCCATCCACCTGCTGCTCCACACTGCAATGATCCCCGGTCCCCTGGGTGGCTGAAGCGTGTGGGAGGAAGCAAAGGAGGTAAAAACCGCATGTCTCGCCTGGGATCTCAAGTCCGCAGTCTCCTGCGTCCATAAGCAGCATCCTCGCAGGCCCTCCCCCTCCCCCTGTGTGGGGATGGTACGCTCCGGTAAGCCTGGCCGGGCTGCAGTGGATGTTGCTAGAATCCACGCGGAGGAAGGAAGAGACGCAAGCAGGCTGCGGTGACCCAAGCAGCCACCCCTACTTCAAGAACCCCTTCCTTGAGAGACGACATCATGACCCAGGGAAAGGTAGGGGCATGTCCCTGCCGCCTGCACCATCCTCTGCTCTCTGGACCCCTGCCTCCCTGCCCTTCTGAGAAAGCTTTCTCAGCTTTAAGCATCCTCTGCGGGTTCCAGTGCAAAGGTCCTTGTGGTCTTTGCTGATGCCGGAGGACCAAACAGCCCATTTAAAAAAAAAAAAAAATGAGCCTAGGACTTTTCTCAATGCCCAGGTTCTCCTTGTCTGTCTCCCACCCCTTGCTGTGGCATCACAACCCCTTCCCAGGTGCCCTAGGCCCTGTTAGGAGTCAGAGTGGGGGAGGGAGGGAGGGAAGGAAGAAGGGAAAGGGGGAAGGAAAGGGAGAGAGAGAGAGAGAGAGAGAGAGAGAGAGAGAGAGAGAGAGAGAGAGAGAGAGAGAGAGAGAGAGAGGGAGAGAGAGGGAGAGGGAGAGTATCAGTTCTGCTTGGGGGCCAGGGTGAGTCTTAAGGGGTGATTCCTGTGTGTTTGCCTTCAGTGCTTTAGGGTCATCTTTCACCCCCTCCAACACCACTTCCCAGCTCCCTTGATTATTCCACTCTGGATATCAGTATACATCCCCTTTGGTTGGGCGTTACTATGGCAACCCTACAGCAGGATGCTCTGATTTTTGTTTTTGTTTTGGCCAGACATGGGGACTAGATAGAATAAAAATGTATCCTTCCATGCCCACCCACATTCACAGACATGCATACACATGCACACACACACACACACAATGCACAATACACACACATATACACCAAATTTAGGACTGAATTACATGGGAAGGACTGGGCAGAGCCTTGAGTAGTGCAGGAGGCTTATGTAACATCAACAGCCTGTGGAATTATACAACCACCAGGGCCTAGGGTGAAGGGGGAGATCCCTCTAGCCCTAGGTGCTAAGGATTGGTCAGGGAAAACAGGAGGAGACCCTCACTTCACCCCACTTTTTTCCTCTGGTACCAGCCTCAGAACTAATGGCATATCTCCCAGGACCCACAGACCCTCCTGTGTTCAGGCTTCTCAAAGGCCTCAAAATGATGTCATTGAGTGATACCGCTTTCTGCCATTGGCCAGATGTCACTTGGGAATGCCTTATTTGAGAGGTGGTGGGGCCCCAGATTCTGGGGTCTGAGTGGAAGGGTAGCGGCTAAGGCAGCCTCCTTAGATGTGCCCCCTTCAGTCTATGTACTGAAGGGAGTGGGGAGCCTGGGCTCTAGGTTCCATTTCCTGAGGCAGGAGACCCTCAGCTGAGCATGAGAAAGTGGAGCCTCCTCTTTCACCCCACCCCACGGCTCTGCTTTCTCTTCTGGTGGCACAGGTGCCTCCGTTCCTCAGCCCCTTGCTCCTAGCACCACCACAGGATATTTTAGGAGTTGGGGTGAAGCCCAGTGGGCTGTAGAGGGACTGAAGTCAGGGGCCTCCTCGGTTGTCTCCCTGCAAGGGCCACCCATCTACCTCAGCAATCCATAAGCGGGGGCCTCTGCAGCCAGCCAGACTGGTGCCTCCTGAGGCCAAGCCTTTCGTTGGTTTCTGTCTTCACCCACTCTGTCCCAGTGTTTCCCTCCCTGACCTTCACAGCTGCCATCGCCTCACCAAGCTATCGTGTCCACTGTGGGCAGGGAGCAAGCTCAGGTCTCCCTGGATCTCAGTCCCTTGTCTCGTAGGAAGGAAGCGTCTACAGCAGATGTCTTCTTAAGCCCTCCAGCGAGGACGACACTGCTCTTCTGTTTTGGCTGGGGACGGCTGCTTCTGTGGGGCCTGCTCTCCCTTCCCACCCTCCAGTATTTCTAGCCCAGTAGGAAGCACCTGTGCCTGGGATGAAGCCTGAGCCCCGCAGCCCTAGGTGCCACTCTGACACCTGGGACTTTGCATGTCTCTCTGTCTGTCTGAATCTGGGTTTCCTTATTTTGAAATTAGCCAAAGAGCTGGGCATGATGGCATCCAGCTTTAATCCCAGCACTTGGGAGGTGGAGCCAGGTGAATCTCTGTGAGTTTGAGGCCAGCCTGGTCTACAGAGTGAGTTCTAGGACAGCCAGGGCTACATAGGGAGACCCTGTCTCAAAAACAAGCAAACAAGATCAAAACAATGATGATGTAAAATATAACTGGTTGAATACAGTGAGAAAATTAGGAAGACAATAAAATGGGAGGCCCTTTTGTTCAGTAATAGGTCTCCCATGTATGGGTCAGGATGTTCTGGAGCATGGTGCAACTGTAGGACAATAGAGGCCTAGTCCTTTCCCCAGGTGGCCCTATGACCTCCATGACACTCTCGTGAATCTTCTGTTTCCTGTCTTATCTTTCCCCACACCTCCTGAGCTCAGTTCTGTGGCTCTGAACTCGAGGGTGGGTCTCATCTGTTCCACTCCTTAGCACAGTTTGGAAGAACACCAAGGCAGATTCCAGGAATCCAGGGACTGTCCCTAGGGACCGTACCACCTGTATGATCTCTCTCTGTGTCTACTCTACAGCTCTCTGTGGCTAACAAGGCCCCCGGGACTGAGGGGCAGCAGAAGACAAATGGCGAGAAGAAGGAGGTTCCAGCAGTGCCCTCGGCGCCGCCTTCCTATGAAGAGGCCACCTCTGGAGATGGGCTGAAGTCAGGGACCTTCCCCCAAGCCCCCACGGCTGTGCCCCTCCATCCAAGCTGGGCCTATGTGGACCCCAGTAAGTCTCTCAGCCACCAGAGGCTGGAGAGGTGGAGGGAGTTCTGGATGCTCGGTGGGAGGAAGTCACCCAGACCCCACTTTTACGGTGTGGTTGTGCAGCACACTGTTGTAGGAGGCTTCAGAGCGTTCTTCTGAGGGTTGGTCAAAGAGAATGCTAAGAGAGAGGAGAAGGAGTGTCCAGTCGGGGTGCTCTCAGCTCCACAAACCACCGAGCTAAGCCAATTGGGGCAGATGGATAAGGGGCAAAAGCCAAGTTCCTGTCTAAAAAGACCCTCATAGAGGAAGGGACACGGACCCGGAATTGGGAGAGAGGAGAGGGTGGTGCCAGTGCCCCAGTGGGGTACAGTGTTCATATTGTTACTGGCCTGAAAACGCAATGGGGCCAGGCCTCTATAAGGCCTGGGGTTCTCAGAGGTTAAGGGGTAGGGACTCCCCTCCCAACCAATGTTGTTATCTTCCCGCCCTTTCTCCAGGTTTTCTAGGGGGCAGGCACAGCGTGGGGTGGGTGTGTGGGAGTTAGCCTACATGGCTGGCCAGTCGTAAGTCACCAACATCTTCCCCAATAAGTTCTGTGATCCCAGCAGTAGCGTCCTGGCTGTCTGGCTAAGCAGCTTGCAAGGGCTTTGCCATGGGCTGTGAGGAAGGATCCCTAAGTCCTCAGCCCCATGCTAGTGAGATGGTTCACCAGGGAAATGCACCATGCCACCAAAAAACTCACGACCTAAGTTCCATCCCAGGATTCCAGGGCAGATGGTGGAAGGAGAGAACTAATGCCTGGAAGTTGACCTCTGACCTCCACATATGCTTCATAGCATTATACACCCAAATTATAAACGCATGCACGCATGTATGTTTACAGTCACACATGCCCTTGTGTGTAATAATAAATAACATTTTTTTTTAATTTACCTTTTCAGACCTTTCAGGGTTTGTGGCAGCTCCCCTGCTTCCCCTCCCCCACTGCTTGCAAAGTTCTAGAAGGGCTCTGAGAACAATGCCCTGGCACAGCCTCTGCCCACAGAGTTCCTGCTCGTAAGGAGCAAGTGGCCACCATGGTCCATGCCTCTTCCAAGAATACCCCTTGGTCCAGAGCCCAGCCGCCCCACTCCAACGTGACCTACTGGAAGGTCAATGAAGGTGTGGCGGGGATTTCCTACCTCTCTTTTCCCCTGCCCTGGTTGCTGGGGTGGACACTTTACTAAGGAATATCCTCTAAGGAGCTGTGGTGGAAGGGAGGCCCATCCTTGCAGTCAGCAGGTGACAGACATCTTCTAGTGTACCCTGGGAAATGTCAGGTAGGCGCTCCTTCCAGGAGAAACAGTCTGTCCATGGCTCCACCTCCCAGCAGTGAGCCTCAGTTCATGCCTGCCTCAAGAGAGTTGGGTAGCTCCCTGCCCTACCTTGGGCTCTCAAGGCTTCTGAAGTCTTTCTCTCCAGTCCCACTGTCAAACACTACCTTTGGCCCACCCCTGCCCACCCCTGCCCACGCCTGCCCACGCCTGCCCACCACCCATCTGGCTCCCTGGTTGCTTCTTGCTCTCTCTGCTCTGATCTCAGGAATAATCTATCTCCCGTCCTCTCCCTCCACAATGGTTGGGGCTCTGGGGAACCAAGCACCACCATACAAATCCCCCTTCCTCCTTGTGTCCCCATTCCCCTCCCTGGACACTTCAGCTCCCATGACTAAGGATGAGCAAGGGGCAGTCAATCATCACTAGCATGGGGCTGAAGACACAGGGGTCCCTCCTCACAGCCCATGACGAAATCCTTGCAGTCTGCTCATACTGACAGCCAATGTGCTACTGCTGGGATCCCAGAACTGTCACTATCAGCGAAGATGTTGGCGACTTAGGGAAGAGTTCCTATAGCCACACAGAGCTCTGAAGAGGGTCCTGGGTTAGCATGTGAGGAGACAGAACAATGAATGACACTCGGAAAGCTCTGAGCGGGCAGGGTCCAACGCATGAAGGCAGGTAACTGAACAGATTCATCTAAGAGAGTAGAAGGGAGAACTGTAGCGGCCGGAAAGGCGTGGCTGGAGGACTCCACTCACCCCGGCATTGTTAAAGGAACTTAAGCTTGCCTGGCATGGTGGTGTATGTACCTGGCGCTCAGGAGATGGGAATGGGAGAATTAGAAGTTCAAAGTCATCCTCGGCCACATAGTGAGTTCAAGACCAGCCTGGTCTGCTTCAGACCACGTCTCAAAACAAAACAAAACAAAACAAAACAAAACAAAACAAAACAAAAACAAAAAAGGCCTTGAACCTGAGCAATGTGCAGAAGAGGAGCCATTGAAGAGCTCCAACAGGGCAGTCGTGTGGCCATCTTTGAGAGACCAAGGCAGAAGCTGTTGCTGGGGAAAGAGAAAGATAGCCAGACCTGATGGGGACAGCAGACAAGGCGAAGGCAATGTGGTCCCCACCAGGCACAGAACACACAGCTTTCCATTTTATTTAATTTGGTCCCTGTGAAGTGGGCCTGTTGTCCACACCAGGAGACTCAGAGCAGGCCAATGACAGTTTGGGTGACGCAGATTGTCCCACAGATTGGCAGACCTGCCTGTGGTTCTGATTGGCTGTGGGGTCTTTATTCCTGCAAAAGCCAGAGTTTTGGGACTAGGCCTGCACCCCTGCCCGTTTCCTTTGCCTCCTTCCCCACAAGTCAGCCCCCATTGACTCTGGTGTGCAGTTGAGCGCCAGCAAGCCTAGCTCCTCCACCGGGCCTTTGATCCCAGCCTGTGGGTCCTAGAACAGCCAGAGTCGGGATTGTCGGACACTGGCCAGGAGGACTGGGTGTCCCCTGTTGATTCACAGGAGCTGAAGTGTTCAGGAAGGGGAACAGGGACACTAGAGGGAAAGGGACATTTGTATGGCTGATCTTAGCTCCCCAAAGCCCCAGCCACGGTGAGGGAGAGGATGGGGTCACAGCAGGGAGAGCAAGAAGTGGTCAGGAAGACAGCTGTGGGGTAGGCAGGGTGGGGGCCAGTGGAGCTGGAGAGAAAGGCGTCAGAAGCCTGAGCTGGGCGGGCAGGGAACTCACACCCTCCACCCTGCTACCCAGGCAGCAGCTCCAGCTACGAAGCTTTCCCCACAGAAAACCATGAGCTCTTCACCACCTTCAGCTGGGATGACCAGAAAGTTCGCCGGCTGTTCATCAGAAAGGTAACCACCTCTCCCGTGCTCTGGGGTGGGGGACGGGGTGAAGGGTCTGGCGCCCTGTGCTGGATGCCTGGAATGCCCTTGGCCCAGCCTCTGTCTGCAGGGCGACCTTTCCCTCTCTCGTGCCACTCCAGCCCATGGCTCCTCCTGGCATGTGCTTCCAAGGTTTCACCCAGAGCCCTTGCTCCATGTCCCCTGGGCTCCTTGGTCGGCTGCACCTGAGGGTCCGGTGCCTTTATTGTCCCCCTACTTGTCTCAGTCTGCCCAGTGACCCCTATGAAGGAGGGCGAAAGTGTCTGATAGGTAGGTCTAGACTCAAATGAGTCCCTGAGAACTGGGGTCTCTCGGGACCCTCCACATGATCATCCCCTCCCCCAGGTCTATACCATCCTGTTGGTCCAGCTGCTGGTGACCTTGGCTGTTGTGGCTCTCTTTACCTTCTGGTGAGTTGGCGCTTCCAGGAGGACCATGGGCAGATTCAGGGCAAGGGGGCGCCATGTAGCCTCTCTTGAGATGTCCACCCGGATAGATGAGGGCCAGTGGACACCCTCACACTGGGGAGGAATGTTGGGCGTACACCATGTGAGAAGTCCCCCAGTGCCGGGTGGGCCCTGTGAGGTGTCACTTGGCTGCATTCCACAGTCACCCAGCCAGTCCTCCTTCCTCTCTCTGAGTCCATGTGGGGCAGGTACAGACACTAAACACAAACACTGAACACAAACAGACCTGGCCAGTCTCTGACTCTGCTCTCCTTTCTCTACAGTGACGTCGTGAAGGACTACGTCCAGGCCAACCCAGGCTGGTACTGGGCATCCTAGTGAGTATGCCCCAGACATCTTCCTAGGCATGCTGTGCTCCATTGATGGGTCCATACCCCAGGGGGAGGCCTTCAAAGACCCCCAGCACGGTCAGGGGCCACCTTCGAGTTGTTCAAATCTGACAGGACATAAGTTGTCTAGGGTGGGACTAGGGCCTGGATGGAGAGCGCCAGTAACTTGACCCTATGAGGGAAGGGACCAGAACACCTTGACCTTCTCTAATGACAATGTTGGTACTCTTAGTAACATTGTTATTAATGCTTATGAAATTATTAATCATAAGAGCCACCACTTAAAGAATACCTAATTAAGGGCTGGGCATTGTTTCGTGTGGTTGATGTACAGTATTGCATTTGATTCTCAAATCTACTGGGTATGATTACCTCAGAAAACCTTAAGGCTCAGAGAGGTTGGGTAATTTGCCCAAGGTTACACAGCTAGTCAGCGGTGGAGCTGGGTTCAAGTTAAGGCTTGCGTTCTTAATCCCTCTGCTCGTCAGTCGCTCTTCCGCCCTCCAGCTACTTGACTTCTGCTGGTCCTATACTGTGTCCCTTAAGGAGAAGGCTGGAGGTTTAGATGGTTTGGACCCTCCTTTCTGATAACTAAGGAATAATTTTGGATACTTCCGAACCTGAACCACCGTAGACTCAGAAAATTGTTCTCTCCATGGTCCCTGTTGGCCTTCGGTGTGAGCCAGCCCTGCACGGGGACGCGTGGGCAGGAAGCCTCTGCCTGTGGGGGAAGGTAGTGAGCCATGCCAAGGAGCTCGCAGAGGCGCTGTCAGAGGTGGTGGGGGCAGACCACCGTGCACCACGGCTGCAAGAGAGGAGTGGCTGGAGCAGAAAACATGGCAGTGAGAACACTGAGGTGTGTCCGCACATTAGGGACTAGTCTGGCAGACGGACAGAAGGCCATCTCAGAGCAGTGCGGCCCTTGTGGGCTAAGCGTCGAGAGAGAGCATGGCAGAGGAGTTGCACACTGACCGGCCCAGCCTGTTCTTCCATAGGGACCAAGTGCAGAGCTGAGCTCAGCAAAGCCCTCGGAACCACCAGAACCTAGAGTGGGTCTTAAAGTCAGGCTTAGAGTTGGCACAGCGGGCAGTGGACTATCAGTGAGGAAACTTCTCAGGATTCTGGAGGTGAAGACATTTATACATGGAGCCTTTCCTCAGGCACAGGACAGAGGGGCAGTCGGTGTCCCAGGAGGGAGTGCTGAGTCTGAGGGTTGGGAGGCACTGTGCGCACAGCTAATGAGGCCCCAGGGCCTGCCACCTTGGCCAGCCCACACAGCAGGTTGGCATGGCTCCCAGCACGTCAGCACTGTCTGGAAGGCTTGGGGCCCCCGAGACCTTGGGGGTTGTGTGCTGGACCCCTCTTCTATGAGTCTTTGGGACTCTGTGTAGTGGCGGGAACAGCTTGGAGTACATGGCACCACACTGAAGAGGAAGTGGGGGGGGGGTGAGTGTCTGGTCTTGGAATGGTGTCCCAAGTGGAGAGCAGTGATACCCTGAGGTGGGAGCAGGGGGAAGGTGGGAAGGGGCATGGCCTGTGCTCTCCTGGGAAGCAGCAAAGCCCTGATGCCCCCCCCCCCAGCACCAGTATGCCTCCTCTTCCTGCATAGGCCTCCCTGAGGATCTAGCCTGCCCTCCACACCCTCCACTCTCCTGCGTCCTATCGGGTCTCACACCAGCCCAGCGTATCAAATGCTCCCTGAGGGCTCCCTTGTTTATCTCTTCCTGCTGGAACAACATTCATAACAGTGAGAATAAAACAGCTCTTTTCTATGCACGAGGCACCATGCCAAGCGTTTGACGTATAGTTTTCAACCCTCCTTTTAATAACCCTGCCAAGCAGGTGCTGTTACAATCTCCATTTCACAGATGAGGAAATTGAGGCAGAGAGGAGCTGCTTCTTGGGCATCAGAGCCAGGTAGAAACCTAGAACTGCTTAACGGCCACATGGCTTGCCCACTGCAGGCTGCTGACCCTAGCCCCGGGGGCGAGCGAGGGCAAGTCAGCTGGGATGGCCAATCCGGACACTAAACAAGTGTCCCAGGCCTTGGGGCTGAGGCTTCAACACGAAAGCCAACTGTTCTCGCTCACACAACCCGCCCTCTCCTGCGCCAGTGGCACCGGCTTTCTCAAGGTCCCTGTCATCTCCCCACTGGGTTCTTTCCTTATTGTCTGATTGCTCCCATGAGCATGGTGTCCGTGGCAGAGCAGAGGGTGAGAGAAGAGCGGGTAGAGGAGGAGAAGTGTAAGGCTAGGCCTGGGGAGGGGGTGGCTCGAGGAAGCTGTCAGTCAAACTGTCTGTCAGCCAGCTTCTAATGACAGTAAGCAACTCCCATCCACGAGTCCAGCCCTGTGCCAAGCCCGTGCTAAGTGCGTCATTGGCACCCCCCCACCAGGTCTCCCAGAGCTGGGGAGCAGTCTTCCTGTTCTGCACAGCTGAGGATTGGGACTGGCTATTAAACCCTTATCCGTGGCCACAGACTCATAGCAGGGATGGGACAGGACTTCCAGTACCAGACCAGACTCCAGCTCCAAAGCTGCACCATGGTCTTGGAATCCTGAGTCTCTCCGTCCTTCCCTCTCATGCCCATCTTCAGGGCTGAGGATCTAGGGTGCACTGAGAAAAGAACATGTGGGAAGCTTCCAGTCTGGCCAGAGTGACAGGAGACACACAGCCAAATGTCCTATTTTTGTCATCGTTGTTGAAGTGACTGAGCCGTGACTCAAGTGGGACCATAAAGAGCAGGGCACTTTTCACCAGGGATAGGAGGTTTCTCCTGTCTCACGTGTACAGGGTGGGCCAGCGCTGGCACCTGGCATCCAATTGCAGAGGAATCTCCAGGTCGGAGGCTTTCATTCCTGCACTGCCTGTTTTGTTATTGCTTCCATTTGGCTTTTCCATGGCACCCAGAAATATTTTAAGAGTGTCTACTGGGTGTCAGGCTCCAGGTTAAATGGCAGGAAAAATAAGTAAGTTGCAAGCTGGCCTGCAGGTGCTACAGGGGAGCAGGGGCCTTGTGAGCTGAGCTGGCTGAGGCAGGGATGCAGGCGCAGTCAGCTGTGGAGGAGGAAGCCAGGCAGAAGAGGGAGTCTCCGTCCTGCCAGCGGAGAGTGGTCATGTTTTGAGGGTGCGGAACGGGCTGTGATGAGAGGAGAGGAGCCGGCGGTGGGCAGACTGTGCTGTGGGCATTGCCAAGTCTCCTGGGAAAACGTGTGACCGGATCAGCCTGTAGTGTCCTGGTAGAAGGCTGGGCTGAAGGCAGGAAGGCACAGTCCCAGCCAGGGAGAGAAGAGTAAGAGGTGTCCCAACTTAGGGAGGCAGGAGAGATGGAGGGAAGAGTGAGGTCTGAGTGGGAGGCTACACAGATCCAGGTAATTAATTGGGTGTGGCAGGGTGAGCGCCAACGATGATGCCGAAGCCTCTGGCTGGGCAGCTTGACAGTCGCATAGTGTCCTGGGCAGGGGGCGTTCAGGGGCAGAGAGAATGCAGAACGCATCTCTAGGCTTGAACTTGATGCGTTTCTGAAGAGCCGCTGCTGACTGGAACATCTACTTGGCTGCCCAGTCTAGTGCTGAGAGGGGCAGTGAGAACCCATCCTAAGGTATGGGCTCATCCTTGGGGTGAGCGCGCCTACCTGGGGAGAGCAGGACAGGAGAGGAGTCTGCCTTGAAGAAACCAGCTCCTTTAGAGGCTCCATAATGAGGAGGAGTGGCCAGGAAGGAAGGAGGGAACCCAAAAGGGTGTCATTGTGGAAGCAGGGAAGCAATAGGAGTGACCAGACTTTGAGAAGTCAGGTAATGTAAGGACCAGCGAGTGACAGCTGAACTCAACAAGGTCACCCTGATGTGATCCAGCCAGCTCCCATTACGTGGGGCCGAGGCCAGGTGGTTGGGCAAGCTGAGGAGATGGAGAAGGACGCTGAGAGGAGGACACAGAGGGTGCAGAGTAGGTGGAGCTAGAAACAGGGGAGATGCTGAGGAAGGCGAGCAGAGTCCGAGGAGGTTGATGTGGGAGAAGAGGTGACCCCCCAGGAGTGTTAAAGTAAGCTGTCACTGGGCTTTTGAGGGCCCGGGACCCAAAACCCAGGTCGTGGGGATGAGGGACAGAAAGTCTGGTAGCACCACGTGAGGTTTTCAGGTGATGGGCCAGAAGCCACTGGAGCCGCACCTCATTATCTCAGATCTTTCTGGAACATAGCAGAGAGCGATGCAGCCTGGGAGGTCTGGGGAAGGAGGAGGCTGTTTGGAATTGCTGTTATGGAGGGCGGGTGAGACACTGAAGGGATGGGGAAAGAAAGGGCTGCAGGGCCACGCTGAAGGCCTGCTGAGGGTGGAGGCCATGCACTGATAGGCAAACTGTCTTGGGAACTTAGTCTCTGTCTTCCGTGTCTGGTCTTTGCCCCTTGCTTTCCAGAAAACTCTGAGCAGCCTATCCCCTCTAGCCACTTCCCACTGGACATGACTACCTAATCCAGAAACTGATTCCACTTCCTGCTCTGCCAGGTGCCGGCAGGCCAGGCCATGCTGAGCCCACCGCCTGGTAGGGCAGAGCAATAAGAAGCAGCTACCAGGATGGCTGCAGGTGGCAGGCGATGAGAGAGGCAGTGTGTGGCAGTGGTTGGAAGGTCGCTACCTGCGACTGGAGTACCGAGGTCTCAGTCCTGCATCAACAGGACAGCTTCATGACCTTTGACAAGTCGCCGGCCTCCTCTGTAAAGGAGAACATGGTTCATAAAGAAGGAAGGATCATGTCAATAGTTACTAAACACTGTCAAGACAAACAAACCTCAAACCCTGGTCCCCTGGCCTCGGTGTAGGTTCCAGGCTCCAGAGGGACACAGTGAGATCTTGTCCCAGAAACAATAAATACATAACAAATAAAAATCTGCCCAGCACACAAAATATATCCTATAGTAGCATTTAGTTTGGTTTATATTTACCTACTATTTTGGAGGCAGGACCTCACATGGAGTGGGATGGCCTCAGACTCCATAATTAGATCAGGATGACTCTGAGTCCCTGATCCTCTCGCCTGTACCTCCTGAGAGCTGGGATTGCATCACCACACAACGATGCCTGGCATGAACTTTTTTTTTTGTAATGCATATGGGTGCGCACATGTGTGTCCATGGATTGGTATGGTGTGCATGTGTCCATGTGCCTATGAAGGCAGGAAGCCAGTTTTGGGTGTCGTCCTCAGGAAAGCCGTCCAACTCCTTTGAAACAGAGCGTCTCATTGGCTTGGAGCTTCCCAGTGAGGCTAGACTGGCTGGCTATCAAGCTGCGCCCCAAAAAGCCTCCTCTCTTTGCCCCTCCAAGTGCTGGGATTCCAAGATCATGCCACTATGCCCAGCATTTTCTCCTGGGTTCTAAGGACTTAAGACAGGTTCTCACGCTTTCTGGCCACTCACTCTTCCCACTGAGTTACCCCACCCCTGTCCCTGTATGTGACTGAGTGATCTATTCAGGCCCTAGAGGATGAACTTTCTTTTTTGTTGTTTGTTTTGTTTTTCGAGACAAAACAGAGAGTTTCTCTGTAGCTTTGGAGCCTGTACTGGAACTAGCTCTTGTAGATCAGGCTGGCCACGAATTCATAGAGATCCACCTGCCTCTGCCTCCCAAGTGCTGGGATTAAAGGTGTGCGCCACCACTGCCTGACTGGGGATGAACTTTCCAAGGTTTCTTAACCAGGTGGGGTGATGCAAGTCCGCAGTGTCAGAATGCTAAAGGCTAAAATAGGAGGATCGCTGAGAGTTCAAGGCTAGCCTGGACTACATAGTGAGACTCTGCCTCAGAAAACGCACAAACAGCAGCAAAGGTCTCTGAGGCCACTTGGGTTGAGCGGTGACTGTGACTCCCAAGATTAAATGTGCTGGAAGTGGGCTGCTTGTCCCACCAACTACCATGTCTCCTTTGGGAACTGGGTTACCATCTTGCCCATTGCCCAGTCCGAGGAGTCCATGCCCTCCCCTCTGCTCTTGCCCTCCTGCCTGGTGCAGTTTGGGGTGGGGTGGCAGAGTAGGATCATCCGGGACTAGGCAGAGGCCCCAGGAGAGACCTGAGAGATTTGTTCACATCTCTCTCTCTCTCTCTCTCTCTCTCTCTCTCTCTCTCTCTCTCTCTCTCTCCCTCTCCCTCTCCCTCTCTCTCTCTCTAGTGCCGTGTTCTTTGCAACCTACCTTACTCTGGCTTGCTGCTCTGGACCCAGGTATGATTATGACTGAGGGACTGTTATTTAGGGCCTTAAAAATGTGCTCTGAGCCCTGCCTTCCACCAGGGGCCTGTGCAGCCCCCGAGAGGGCCTCATTCCTCTCTGAACTGCAGTCATATGGGCCCTGTGCCCTTGATTTCATGTCTCTGAAGTGGATGGAACAATGTGGGCCTACAAGGGTTTGAATGAAGGGAGAGGTTCCACTGTGTGCCCAGAGCCCTGTAGGCTCGAATGTCCTCTGAGGCCCATGGTTTGCCTTGCAGGAGACATTTCCCTTGGAACCTGATTCTGCTGGCCATCTTTGTAAGTGACTGGGGTGAGCTGGGGACAGATGCTGAGTGGGGACAGAGGAAGGACAAGGGCAGCATGGGGGTTGAAGGCCAGAGAGTCTTGACTGGGGATATCAATATGAGGTTCTTGGTGGAACAGAGGCGTCAAACCCCTATCCTACCAGGACACTCCATCCTTCCTTTCCGAATGGGATGAAGCCCTCCCTCTTATGTGCCCAGCCTCTTGTTCTGGGAAGATTGGGTGGGACTTCCAACCAGAATTAGGATAACGAAGAGTTGGGATTCTCATGGGGAGAACAAGGCTGCCTAAGAGATAAAGGGATAGCTAGCTGGAGTGCCTTCGAGCTGGCTAGGAGCCTGAGAGTGCCCAGACCCCATGTCCACATGCAGAAGCACTCCTTCACCCTGCAGGAGCACTCCTTCACCCTGCAGGAGCACTCCTTCACCCTGTAGGAGCACTCCTTCACCATGCAGGAGCACTCCTTCACCCTGTAGGAGCACTCCTTCACCCTGTAGGAGCACTCCTTCACCCTGCAGGAGCACTCCTTCACCCTGTAGGAGCACTCCTTCACCATGCAGGAGCACTCCTTCACCCTGTAGGAGCACTCCTTCACCATGCAGGAGCACTCCTTCACCCTGTAGGAGCACTCCTTCACCCTGTAGGAGCACTCCTTCACCCTGTAGGAGCACTCCTTCACCCTGTAGGAGCACTCCTTCACCCTGTAGGAGCACTCCTTCACCCTGTAGGAGCACTCCTTCACCCTGCAGGAGCACTCCTTCACCCTGTAGGAGCACTCCTTCACCCTGTAGGAGCACTCCTTCACCATGCAGGAGCACTCCTTCACCCTGTAGGAGCACTCCTTCACCCTGTAGGAGCACTCCTTCACCCTGTAGGAGCACTCCTTCACCCTGTAGGAGCACTCCTTCACCATGCAGGAGCACTCCTTCACCCTGTAGGAGCACTCCTTCACCCTGTAGGAGCACTCCTTCACCATGTAGGAGCACTCCTTCACCCTGTAGGAGCACTCCTTCACCATGCAGGAGCACTCCTTCACCCTGTAGGAGCACTCCTTCACCCTGTAGGAGCACTCCTTCACCCTGTAGGAGCACTCCTTCACCCTGTAGGAGCACTCCTTCACCATGCAGGAGCACTCCTTCACCCTGTAGGAGCACTCCTTTACCCTATAGGAGCACTCCTTCACCCTGCAGGAGCACTCCTTCACCCTGCAGGAGCACTCCTTCACCCTGTAGGAGCACTTCTTTACCACGCAGGAGCACTCCTTCACCATGCAGGAGCACTCCTTCACCTTGCTCTCTTTCAGACCCTGTCCATGGCCTATCTCACTGGGATGTTGTCCAGGTAAAAGGGGCAAGGGCATCCTAGGCAGGCATGCAGCCAGGGTCCAGCCATACCTGAAGGAACACCCCCAATACCATCTTTCTGGGGAACTATTGGATGGAGGAGGAACTTGAGCAGACAGGCCACTTTGGCACTACACAGCCAGTGACTCTAAGACCCGAGCAAGTGGGTGGAGTTGGGGTGAGGGATGACGGAGGGTAAGATGGTGACTTTAAAACCCCAAGGTCCTGGTACTGTCATTACCTGTAAACTGCCCTCAGACACCGACATATTCTAGACCCTTCAGCCCATTGATGGGTGCCCATGAACAGAGAAGCCTGGGAAAGTTGAGAGTGGGAGGTCCTGGGAATGGGGCAGGCTGGGACCACAGGTCACGAGGTCAGCTTCTGGTAGAAAAGGGCAGTCCTGAGGAGGGGTGGGGAGTCGGGAATCCCACTGACCCCGTGCCTGTTCTCAGTTACTACAACACTACTTCTGTGCTGCTGTGTCTGGGAATCACGGCCCTCGTCTGCCTCTCAGTCACCATCTTCAGCTTCCAGACCAAGGTCAGCCCTGGGGCCTGTGGGCAGGGGAGGGCGCGTGGGTCAGGGATCCACGTGGGGCTGAGAAGAAGCAGAGGGTTGAACGGGGTCTGGGAATGCCTCCTGGAAGAGGGATGTACTGGGTTGTGGGGGTGAGTGCAGAATTGGCGGGTCAGTGCTGATGCCCCCCTATGTCTTGCAGTTTGACTTCACCTCCTGCCAGGGTGTGCTCTTTGTATTGCTCATGACCCTTTTCTTCAGTGGACTCCTCCTCGCCTTCCTCCTGCCCTTCCAATACGTAAGTCTCCAGCCTACGGGCCCAAGGAGAGGGTGGGGATGGCCCGGTGCCCAGGGTGCCATGCTCTTCTAGCCCTTCAGGGAAGACCCAGGGCCAAAGCCCCACAGCCTGCCACCCTGCCCAGCCCTCCTGGCACCTGCCCGAGGTGTGTTGGCAGCATACACGAGCAAACAAGGAGGCTTTTCTTGGCAGGCCTGGGCACCTGCCCAGCTCCACGGGTTGCATCCGGCTTCACTTTCCTTATCCTCCCCTGCAGGTAGAGGGGAGGAGGAGAGGGACCATAGCTGAGAAAGATACACTGGGGCTCCAGAGGTCACCAGGCTCGGGGGACCTCCTTGGGGACCAGCAAACCCAAAGAGGCAGAAACTGGCTGACCAGGTGGAGGGCAGTGAAGTAGGGACAGACTCTCCACCCCCAGCTCACAGACCACCCCCCTTTGCTGGCCTCTGGCCTGTGTGTTCTGTGCAGGAAGTGAAGCCATTGATGTTGGGGGACAGACTGGGGACATGGCAGGTGGTTTGAGTCCTGAGAACACAGGAAAGAAAGCACTGGGTCTATTGGGGTCTCAGTGGCAGTTTCTCCAGCCACATTTGGTACCCGGCCTCCCGTCGCCTCTTGTGTGCTAAGCTGAGATGGTTTTCCTCATCCAGCCCTAGCCTCCGGGTGGTTGGCACCCAGTCTAGGATGTCAAGATTGATTTTGGCATTTCTTTGGCTCTTCTCGGGATCCTGTTGACGAAGGGAGGGACCGGAGCTGGCCTGGAGGCCTCTATGTATCTAGGATGGGGATGGGGCTACAGGAAGGGGGCCCAGAACTTCAAAGAACCCTTTATTGACCCACACCGAGCTGATGGGAGGCCTTTGTTTTCAGAGATCTTCCGGAAAGTTTTCTGGATGGGCTCCACAGAGGGCAGGGCTAACACGGCACCTTATAGATGTGGAGTTGGCCTGCACAGTCAAGGGGAGCACAAGCTTGGGAGGGTACTATTCCAGCCACCAGGCCCTTCATGCCCATCTGGCAGAGACTCCAGGTGCCTCCACACCTGTCCCCACCCCCCCGCCGAGTTTAGCTGACTTTCCACCTGAGCCCTTGCTCCCAGGGCAGAGACAGAGAACTCTGCATGAGAGGTACAGGCAGACTCCAGATAGAGCAAGGATGGATGGGGACAGCAGGGGGACCCAGGCTGAGAGGACCACAGTCAGATAGGATGAGTCACTTTTGGCCAGCCTGAGCCTGGGGCATTGTTGTGAAGTGAAAAAAATGTCAGGTCTGTGGGGACTCCCTGCAGGTCTCCCTGTGATTACTCAGAGGTCTCTCTGTTTTACACTGTGAACACCCAGAGAATCACAAGCCCCTCTGGATCCTTGGGGGGAGTTACCCCATTGTCCCATCCTCGGGACTGAGCCTTCCCCTCAACCTCTGGCCCTTCTGCCAGTTGCCCTTTCCACACGCTAAACCTGTCCTTCCTGTGCCCACAGGTCCCCTGGCTCCACGCCGTCTATGCCGTGCTAGGAGCAGGCGTGTTTACATTGGTGAGTTTGGCCCAGCTTCTGGGGCACCTTCTCAGCTCTATAAATCTTCCACTCCTTGGAACCTTTCTGCAGAATCTGAGGGTGGGTTTGGAGGGTGGGTTTGGTGCCCAAGACCTGCTTTCTGAATAGAGTGAGAGCAGCAGGGTCGAAACTGCTGACCAGAGCAGGACTGCGAGGAGGGGCAGAGCTTGGGGATAGCCTACTGTGTGTCGGGGATAGCCTACTGTGTGTCAGGGATAGCCTACTGT